AGTTAGAATGGCAAAAATTGACAAGGCAAGAAACAACAAATGTTGGAGAGGTTGTGGAAAAAGGGGAACCCTCTTACACTGTCGGTGGGAATGCAAGTTGGTACAGCCACTTTGGAAAACAGTGTGGAGGTACCTCAGGAAATTAAAATTAGAGCTAGCCTATGACCCAGCAATTGCACTCCTGGGTATTTACCCCAAAGACACAGATATAGTGAAAAGAAGGGCCATATGCACCCCAATGTTCATAGTAGCAATGTCCGCAATAGCCAAACTGTGGAAAGAGTCGAGATGCCCTTCAACAGACGAATGGATAGGAAGATGTGGTTCACATATACAATGGAATATTACTCAGCCGTCAGAAAGGATGAATACCCAACTTTTACATCAACATGGATGGGACTGGAAGAGATTATGCTAAGTGAAATAAGTCAAGCAGAGAAAGTCAATTATCATATGGTTTCACTTATTTGTGGAACATAAGGAATAGCATGGAGGACATTAGGAGAAGGAAGGGAAAAATGAAGGGGGGGGGAATCAGAGGGGGAAAGGAACCATGAGAGACTATGGATTCTGAGAAACAAACTGAGGGTTTTAGAGGGGAGGGGCGTGGGGGGAATGGGTGAGCCCAGTGATGGGTATTATGGAGGGCATGTATTGCATGGAGCACTGGGTGCTATACGAAAACAATGAACCATGGACCACTACATCAAAAACTAATGATGTACTGTATGGTGACTAACATAATAAAATTAAATTAAATTTAAAAAAATGAAGAACTAAAACTGTCACCTTTTGCAGACCACATGATACTATATACAGAAAACCCTAAAAACTCAATAAATAAAACTGATAAAATAAATGAATTCAGTAAAGTTGTAGGATACAAAATCAATACACAGAAATCTGTGGCATTCTATACACTAACAACAAACTATCAGTAAAAGAAATTAAGAAAACTTAATTGAACTTACAATTGCATCAATCAGAATCAAATGCCTAGGAAAAAAATCTAACCAAGGAGGTAAAAGACCTGTACACTGAAAACTATTAACACTCTGATGAAATATATTGAAGACATAAGTAAATGAAAAGATACTCTGTGCTCATGAATTGGAAGAATCAATACTGTTAAAATGTCCATACTACCCAAAGTGATCTACAAATTAAATATAATTACTATCAAAATTTCAATGACGTATTTCTCAGAACTGGAACAAATAATTCTAAAACTTACATGGTACTACAAAAGATACTATATAGCTAGAGCTATCTTGAGACAGAAGAACAAAGCTGGAGGTATCATATTCCCTTATTTCAAACTATATTACAAAGCTGTAGTAACCAAAACAGTATGGTACTGGCACACCAAAAAAAAATAGACGGGTTGATAAAACAGAACTGAGAGCCCAGAAATAGACCCACGCATATATGGACAATTGATTTATGACAAAAGAGCCAAGAACAATGGAAAATGGATAGTCTTTTTCAATAAATGGTGCTGGGAGAACCAGTGAGCTACATGCAAAAGAATGAATGTGGACCACTTTATTACAGCATACACAAAAATTAACTGGATTAAAGACTTGAATGTAAGACCATAACACTCCGAGAAGACCATAACACTGAAACCATAACACTCCTAGAAGAAGATGTAAGTAGTACGCTCTTTGATATCAGTCTTAAAAATGGTTTTGTGAGTCACACTCCAAAGGCAAGGGAAAGAAAAAACAAAAATAAGTAAATGGGATTACATCAAACTAAAAATGTTTTGCACAGCAAAGGAAACCATCATCAAGACAAAAATCCTATCTACTGAATGGGAGAAGATATTTGCAAATCATACACATCCAATAAAGGGTTAATATTCAAAATATATAAAGAACTAATACAACTCAAGAACAAAGAACAAACAACCCAATTAAAAAATGGGCAGAAGGTCTGGGGAGACAGTTGTCCAAAGACAAACAGGTGGCCAATGGGTACATGAAAAGATGTTCAGCATCACTGATGTTTAGGGAAACACAAATCAAAACCACAATGAGATATCACCTCATACCCATTAGAATGGCTATTATCAAAAAGACAAGAAATCTTAAGTGTTGGAGAGAATGCAGAGAAAAGGGAACCCTCATACACTGTTAGTGGGAATGTAAATTGATGTAGTCACAATGGAAAACATATGGGTATTCCTCAAAAAATTAAGAATAAAACTACCATATGATCCAGTTACTCCACTACTGGGTCTTTATCCAAAAACTATGAAAACACTAATTTGAAAAGATATACGCATCCCTGTGTTCATTATGGCATTATTTACAATCGCCAAAAAACTGAAACAAGCTAAATGTTCACCAGTGGGATGAATGGATAAAGTTGATCCCTTAAAAAAAGAATAAAATTTGCCATTTACAATATAGGTATTATGCTAGTGGAATAAATCAGAAGACAAATACATATAATTTCACTCATATGTAGAATCTAAGAAACAAAACAAACAAACTCATAGGTACAGAGAACAGACTGGTGGTTACCAGAGAGAAGGGGGTGTGGGGTTGGGAGAAAGGGCTGAAGGGGGCCAATTATAGGATGATGGATGATAACTGGATTTTGGGGGGTGATCACTTTGCAGTATATATCAAATTATACTGTATACCTGGAACACATAATTTAAAAAATACATTAAAAAAGAATATTCAGAAAATAAAAATGTGATCTTGGAAACTTTTTAAAAAAATTATAGAAGTAAAGGGGACACCTGGGTAGCTCACTTGATTAAGCATCAGACTCTTGGTTTCGGCTCAGGTCATGATCTCATGGATCATGAGATTGAGCCCCACGTTGGGCTCCATGCTCAGTGGGGAATCTGAGATTCTCTCCCTCTGCCCTCTCCCAACTTATGCACACATGTGAGTGCATGTGTGTGGGCTCTCTATGTCTCAAATAAATAAATAAGTCTTTAAAAACAATTATACAGGGGCACCTGGGTGCCTCAGTCAGTTAAACATCTGCCTTTAGCTCAGGTCATGATCTCCGGGTCCTGGGATCAAGCCCAGCATCAGGCTCCCTGTTCAGCGGGGAATCTGCTTTTCTCTCTCTGTGTGTCCCTCTGCCCCACCCCTGCTCATTCTCTTTCTCTCTCTCAACTAAATAAGTAAAATCTTTTTTTTTTAATTTCAAAAAATTAAAAAAAAAACAATTACAGAAGAATGGAAATGAAGAAGAGGGGTAGAAAGATAAAAACTTAAAAATCACTGAGATAGTAGAAGCAAAAGAAAAAGTAGAAAATGGAGAGGAGGGAAGAAAAATTAAGAGTCAACCCAGGAATTCCAATAATATAGGTTTTTCAAAGAGTAAAGAGCAAAAACAGAATAGAGAACATTAACAGAGAAATAACTCAGAAAATTACCCCAGAACTGAAAGCCATGAATTTCCAGATTGAACAAGACTTCTGCATGTCCAGCATAATGGATTTTAAAAAGACAGACACCAAGATACATCACTGTAAGAATTTGGAAAATAGATTTTTTTTTCTGCAAAAGGAAAATCTTAAAAACTCCTACAGGGAAAAAAAAAGCAGGTCATACAAGAAGGACTGGCTATCAGAATGACAGTAAAGAAGATACTAATGCAATAGCTGGAAGATTTCTACTTGTGGTACAGTTGAGGGTGACTTAAGGACAGATATTGAGAAAATAAATAAAGAAGCCAGACAAATAGTAGCACAAGAGAAAACAAAAAGATGAATAAGAGCCCCAATGTCATTAGAATATGAATAATAGTATAATCATAACAATATAAATACTGAATATTAATCTAGCAAAATTTATCATTTGGGAAGATGGAAAGTATGTCTGTGTTTGTTGGAATGGTGGTGAAACAAAGCTAGTCTTTACCACTACAGATAAGGCATGAGAATAAAATCAAGAGGTAGCATCATAACCATGCTATTTAGAGGTCTGAAGGTAAAAAACTAAAAGAAACAGCTAAAAGAATTAAAATTTGTCGTCTCTGAGAAAAGGGGAAGGGCAGAAAATAAGCTCCACACCAACATATTTTCATAGCGATGAATGTGTCTCCACTCAGCGAAAATGAATTGTGTTTCTCACTCTTCTTGTATAGGTGAAGTTCAAGACCCAGACTATGAAGAGTGCGTGCCTTGTGAAGCAGGATGTCTGGGGTGCAACTTGGGTATGCCACTTTTCTTTGCTCCCTAAAGAGTTGACATAGCTTTGTTTTCATTTTTCCCACACCTCTTGTTTCAGCAGGAATGCTGTCATTGTTATAACACTGTCACCATCCATACCCATTAAGTAGGCTCACTCCCATGAAAACAGGGTCATGGTGAGAGATGTTCCCTTTTGAGGCAAAGGAAGGGTCACTCATCCTCATGAAACCCAAGTTTAAGAAAGGACAGGCATCTTTTCCTCTGGTTGTTAGCAATCTGGCAGGGATCCCTTCAGCAACCAGGTTTCCAGTTACATAGGATGTGGCCTCTCCTTGGCTTCTCAAGGTCACAAATAAAGAGATGAACTATGGTGGGAAAAAGAAACTCAAGCAAAGAAATGCCTAATTAATCTAACTCATTTGGCATGTGATTCACAAACCCCCAAGTTTGGGGATTTTCCTTTGCAGAAATGACTCCATTGGTTGAAGCCTAAGACAACCCTTTGAGAAGAAAGCAATGCGGTGACTGAGTTGAAATCCCCACCATATAACGAATAGTCAGTCTTCCATCTAATTCTCTAATTCAAATCACTGACCCCTTTCTCCCCATGCATGCCTGGTTTTCCTGTGGAGAGGAGGAGACAGACAGTGTGTACTACACAGAACCATTGGATTGGATGTAAAATGAAATATAGGAGGCCACCAAATTCCAGGAATGTATCTTAATGTAAATTTAGTCAAGATATTGAAAATAATTAACGTTTGGGTCTGTAGATCTTTGGAAGGAACCCCAACCTAAATTAAAGATTGACGGAGTAATTTCTATTCATAGAGTTTCTCTATGATTGGTTAACTCCTCCTTCTAAAACTTTAATGTGCACACAAATCCCATGGGGGATTTGTTAAAATGCAAATTCTGATTCATAGGTCTGGGTAGGGCCTGAGAATTACATTTCTAATAAGCTGCCTGGTAAAGCCAAGTCTTCATCAAACACTCATGAGGTTGCAAGGGGTCAGGCTGTGCCAGGATTAAGTAGACTTTTTATTGGCTTTACCTAATGGATTTCCTTGAATTCTTAAATATTATACATGAATTATAATTTATCTGATGGCTGTAATGGATTCTCTCTGCCCTAAATGGAAATGATGTATTTTCTATAATATCTATAACTACAAGACAGAGGTTTTAGGAATCTGAATACCATTCTCCCATTACTTTCTACTATGAAATGGGGCATATATACTGGAAAATAAAACCTAATAATGAAATCACATTTAGGAAGGGGTTAACATTTAGAGTAAGAAATTTAAGGGTAAAATGCTAATTTTCTGGGAAACAAAAATAGACCTAAATAGAAGTAATAAAAGTACTAAAATTGAAAAGATTAGCAAATTCCAGTGTATCTTCTCAAGTGATAGGAGGTGGTCTTTCTTGCAGAGAGCAAGAATAAATGTCCTATCTTGATTTCACATTTTGCCTATTTCAAACTATATTTGCCCATTAGATTTCATATTCCAGCTAATTTTTGTGGTCTCCTTTTGCATCTTTGCTATTATTGTATGTTGTGTGACCATGTTAGCATCTTTGTGTATCACAGAGAGGGGTGTGATTATGTGTGTGTGTGTGTGTTTGTGTTTGTGTGTGTGCGCCTGTCTGTAAAATCCCAAAACCTGGAAACACTGACAACCATGATCAGTAGGGATCTACATTGTGCCCACCCTTCCCTTAGCTGATCTAGCTACAGAGGAGACCAAGTGTAGCCACTGGGAAATAAAATTATCCATATCAGACATAGGCCATTTGAGGACTCAAAATCCAAAAGAATCAACTTGCAAAAAGAGCTAAATTAGAAAGTTTGATTCGCTCTGCAAAGTGCTACTGAAATATTTAGTTCATTTACTCTTTTAAGAAAATTTAATGGTCTACAATGTGTTGAGTGCTCACTGGGGCACTGGGAATTCAGAGTTGATATGGTTGTGATCCCACTCTAAGGCCCTCTCTGGCTGTTACAAGTAACATACCTAGAACTAAATCTTTATAAGGCAACCTGCAAGAGTAGAGAGAGGTGCAATGTTCAGTGGGATCACAGGAGAGTGACTAGAACATTCTAAATGCTGCTAAATTCTCATTTTAAATTAGAAAGTTTCTCTTATTTTATAAAGTCTCTACACGTTGGACCTTGTGTATTTTTAGGTTGCCCTGGCTGAACTCAATTATCACTTTATTTCTTGGGTCTTTGTTGATCTTTGCACTTGAGTTAAATCTCTTTTCTTGCTTCCCCTTGTTGTAGGCCAGCAATAATACTTTTTACAGCTGATCTGTGTAGTGTTTGGTGCATACATATCTTTCTTCCTGGACACTAAATTACTTAGAATAAGCTCTATGACTTATACACTGTGCTACCAAAAGAATTAGCAGCAGGCCCAGGATATAATAAATGTACAATAAACTTATCATGTATAATGTTTGTTGAACTGAATGTGAGAGTTGCCAAAACTTAAAGTGGAGATGCATGGCTCAGGATATCCAGGGATCTGGATATGACGTTTCCTCTATTTAAACTTTGTTTATGGGCCAAGAAGGGGAAATAAATCATATGATACAGAAATAAATAATTTTTCATAAAATATTAGAACTATAAGGGAGATTTGAAGGGGACATGGTTTATCAAATTTCTTAATTTTAAGATACAAATATAAATTTTAAAAGATATGAATAATTTACCATAGATTTTTCCCAAGATTCTTCTCGTGAGAAGGGACATCATCCTTTAGAAAGAAAGAGCTCCATTTTCTTCCATTTTAGTAATATAAATTCATCTTTGAACCTGAGCTAGACAATCTCTAGAAGAGTTACAGAAAAGTGAAATCAGTTGCTCTGAGACATTTTTTTCTGCACCATGTAATGATTGTTAGAAATGGTAGAATTTTTTCCTGAGTTTTTTATTCCTTTCCAGACATTTAGTGCAACTATAGATTAAGATTTTTTATACCCCATATAAAAGAAAAATTCCAGATTGACCCTGATCTTGTCTAGTTCCTGGATGGAGTTATTTATTATTCCAAGGGAAGCTTGCCAGAAAGAGAAGAGAAAAGGAAACATGATCAAAAGGGGCTGTTGTATTTTGAGGAGAATATTGAATTTGCTATCCTAGGATGAACCATGGGTGTTTTTATTATTATGGGGTTAGATTTCTCTTCTTTTTTTTATTGAGATATAATTGACATAGAAAATTACATTAGTTTCAGGTGTACAAATAATGACTCAAAATTTATATACATTGTGCAGTGATCACCACAATAAGTCTAGTTAATAGCCATCACCTTAGAGTTACAGACTTTTTTTTCTTGTGATAAGAACTTTTACAATCTACTGTCTTAGCAACTCTCAAATATACAATGCACTATTATTACCTATAGTCATCATGCTGCACATTACATCCCCAGGATTTATTTATTTTATAAGTAGAAGTTTGTACCTTTTGACATCCTTCACCCTCTGCCTCTGGCAACCACCAAACTGTTCTCTCCTAGATTTCTCTTCTTTATTAGGCTGAAAACAAACAGATAGCATTTTATATGATACCATCTTTTTCCAGGATGATTGGATGCAAAATTCTTTGTCTTTCTAGCTGGTATCTTGAATGGAAATTTTAAGATAAATCAAAGTTTTCTAAATTATATTTCTTCATTAATTGAGAGAATAAGTAATTGGAACCATTTTTACTTAATGTCTTGAGGTACTTTTTTTGTTTTATTTAGGGGCTATAGTTATAGATATGACACCTGATTATAACCTAAGATTTGGAGCCCATACTTACAACCCCTGACTTACTAATTGATTTTAATCAAATTGCTAAGATCTGTTTACTTCCTTACCTTGTCCATAAAATAGATGTCAATGTGCCTTTATTTTGGCTTAGAAGTAGGTGATAAAAATCCCTTATTTTTTGCCCATTTAAATGGCTTTAGTCCCTACTCTTGGGGAAAAATATACACAAATTTAAAATTTTTAAGTACTTGCAATAAATGAAAAAGGCTATAAGGATCAAACTGTTCCAAAAACAGAAGAGAAAGGAAAGCTCCCACATTCATTCTATGAGACCAGCATTACCCTGATACCCAAACCAGAAAAGACACTACAAAAAACAAAAAAAGAAAACTACAGGCCATTATCCCTAATGAACGTAGCTACAAAAGTCCTCAACAAAGTTGCAGCAAACTGAACTCAACAATATTTTCGAAGGATCACGGGGGATTTATTCAGAGGATGCAAGAATAGTTCAATAGTCATAAATCAATCAACTTGATAATCACATTAACAAAGTAAAAGATTAAAAAACATATGATCATCTCAAAAGATCCAGAAAAAGTATAAGACAAAATTCAACATCCACTCATGATAAAAACTCTCAACAGAATGGGTTTAGAGGGAACATACCTCAAGATAATAAAGGCCATATACGAAAAACCCACAGCTAATATCATACTCAATGGTGAAAACTGAAAGCTCGTCCTCTAAAGTCAAGAACAAGACAAGAATGTCCACTCATCATTTTTCTTCAACATAGTACTGGAAATTCTAGCCGCAACAATTAGACAAGAAAAAAGAAATAAAAGGTATCCAAATCAGAAATGAAGAAGTGAAACTGTCACTATTTGCAGATGATGTGGTACTATATATACAAAACTCTAAAGACTCCACCAAAAAATCTGATAGAATAAATGAATTCAGTAAAGTTGTAGGATATAAAATCAATATATAGAAATCTGTTGCATTTTTATACACTAATAACAAAGTAGCAGAAAGATAATTTAAGAAAACAATCTAATTTACAACTGCATCAAAAAATAAAATACCTAGGGCGCCTGGGTGGCTCAGCTGGTTAAGCAACTGCCTTCGGCTTAGGTCACGATGCTGAAGTCCTGGGATCGGGTCCCACATCAGGCTCCCTGCTCAGCAGGGAGTCTGCTTCTCCCTTTGACTCTACCTCCTCTCATGTGCTCTCTCTCTCTCTCATTCT